TTATTGTTAAATCTGTCACTGTTTTGGGAAATTTTATTGTTTCCAGTTTTGCGTTCTTGTTGCTTCCATCGAATGGTATATGGATTTTAAGGTTAGGGAAGTAAAAGTATTTTTAGCACAGGAGTAGACTGACTACCTGTTCCCGTGCTCGCTTGTCTCCTGTAAGGCTCAAAAGGACTACCTACAGCAACGCTAGTTTTCACTTGATATGGAAGGAAGCTCTGTTAAAACAGTAAGTTACAATGATGGCTTCGTAGTATTTGTCTCTCTTTGCGAAAACAGTTTTTCTTCCGACTCGTTATCATTGAGTGCCTTATTTTTTGTTTAGCTCTTCTCTGTAAACGTTCTCGACTAATGATCGTTTATGAATCATACATCTACATTAACGGGTTAGTTTGATTTCAGACTACGTAGAATCTTGCGTGTAGATTCATTGGAGGGAATAGTTGGACAATCGTTCAGTGGAAGTGACGTAAAATGGAATTGTGAGAAGGTTGGACTTAAGGGCATTGTGAAAGTGAGAAATGAAAATGGTGAGTACATTTGAGTGCAGTATTTTAAGGTCTTTCTAGTAAATCACTTAAATTACTGTCTTAAAATATTCACTTTCCAGATGACCTTTCGACTTACCTTATAGCTATGATGCGTTACTTAACCAGGTGGCCTTTTGATCAAAAGTTTGTGGAAAAAGTCAACGTTTATCCTGGAATGGAGAGGAACGTGTTCGAAAATGTTTGCGAACATTTCGTCAAAGGGAAGCCTATTTTACCTAACGTAGTCGCATCAGCAATTTTGAAAGTTGTCAACCTCATCAAGGATCGAAATCAACAGAAGCTTTCAAAGTTATCTTCTCCAAAAAAACCAGGTTGTGTATTTATTGTAGTATACTCGTGTGTAGTACTCTAAGATTGTTAAGCAGAGTAGGGATTAAAAGACAACATTTTGCTTTAAAAATAGTGAATTTAGTTGTGATTGGGTCAAAATTAATTGCATATTCACACATTTCGTGATGAGGTTTCAATATTTGGCTAGCTTACTTTCGTCCAGCATCGGTTGCGCTGCCCTTTGTGTTTTTAAAGCCACAGATTTTACAAGGTTACTTCTAATAAATTTACGAACTATTTTTAACATTTTAAAGAAAAAACCATTCGAATGGAGACGGTATTTTCCCATCAAGCGACACCTGTCACTCGTTATGTTAATATGTTGAACAAGGACTTTGAGAGTCGGCTAAGGGTAAATATTTTTTTAATTGTCTTTCCCCTTTAATTTTCATACTCTGCTAGTTCTTAATTGTGATTGAACGAGATTTTCATAAATAATGAAAAATTTGTTTTTTTTTTTTTTTTTTTTTTTTTTTT